AAATAATATAAATAAAAAATATTTAAATCTAAGTATAAAGTAAGATAAAAACTGCATTATTTTAATATTTAACTAAAGTTTAGTTACTAAACGAATCTAGTTTTTGGTATACCCAATAAATCACTGCTTAAATATGATAATTATCTTTCATTTAGATTATGCCTTCGATTAAATACATTATTTCATTTTCTCGTAGTTGGATTATTTATTTAGTTATAGACTAACATTTGATGCATCCAGTTCGAAATGGTTTTGATAATCGTCACCTTTTTGCTGGTACTGCTGGTGCTGCTCTATAAATATGCCATGGATCCATATAGGACCTTTGAAGAGCGTGGCGTGGCGTATAGCAAACCGAAACCCTTTCTGGGGAACTTAAATGTGCGCGTTTTACTGGGACGAAAATCCTTTCTAAAGAATATTATCGAACAGAATATCGCGTTGAGGCATCACAAGATCTACGGTTTTTACAATCTGCGCGAACCATTCTTTATATTACATGATGCGGAGCTGATCAAACGTGTGGGCATCCAGGACTTTGAGCATTTCATCAATCATCGCCCAATGATACCCGAAACGGGTGAAACAATCTTCTCGAAAAGTCTGAACGGACTGAAGGACGATAAGTGGAGGGAAATGCGTAATACGCTAACTCCATCCTTTACGGGCAGCAAATTGAAGGCAATGTTCGAGCTGATCAACGAGTGCAGTATAGAGGGTGTGCGTTATATAGAAGCCGAGCTACTTAAGGCCAACAAGAGAGAGATCGACCTGGAAATGAAGGATTATTTTGGAAGATTTGCCAACGATGTTATTGCATCCGCTTCGTTTGGCATCAAGGTCAATTCGTTTGTGGATAAAAATAATCAATTCTATACGCTAGCTAACTCCGTGATGCATTTCTCGTTTCTATCCATAATCAAGGTTATACTATATGGCATTATGCCGAGGGTTATGAAGGTAAACTATTAATTATTATTTTTATTTAATTTTAATTTGTTATGTTATTGGATTGGGATCCATTTCAGGCCTTGCGCGTCAAACTTTTTAATGGCAAGAAAATCGATTACTTTTGTAGTCTCGTTTTCGATACCATGAAATATCGCAAGGAACATAATATAATACGACCCGATATGATCCATTTGCTTATGGAGGCCAAGCGGCAATATCAACAGAATGAAACCCTGAACAGCTCAACTAAGCACGCGGAGTTCAACGATGAGGATCTGTTGGCGCAGTGTTTGTTGATCTTCCTCGTGGGCTTCGAGGTGATGTCGGCCAGCCTCTGCTTTCTCACCTATGAGCTTTGTCGCAATCCGGACGTACAAGCGAAACTGTATGAGGAGATCTCAGCCGTGGAACAGGAGCTGCAGGGTAAACCGCTCAGCTACAATATGTTGTCCAAGATGAAGTATATGGATTTGGTTATATGCGAAGCGCTGCGTATGTGGCCGCCGGCGTTCAGCTTGGATCGGATGTGCGGCAAAGATATCGATATGTACGACGAGAATCGGGAACTGTTGGCCAAGTTTCGCAAGGGCGACATTATTCAAATACCGATTATAGCTCTGCAGCGCGATCCACATAATTTCCCAGAGCCAGAAGTCTTCAAGCCCGAACGCTTTTTGGATGAGAACAGGGCGAACATAAAACCCTTTACGTATTTACCTTTCGGTGTGGGACCGCGCAGTTGCATAGGTATATATAAAACA